AGGTACTACTACTACTACTACTACTACTACTACTACCACCACCACCTGGTACTACTACTACTACTACTACTACTACTACTACTACTACTACTACCACCACCTGGTACTACTACTACTACTACTACTACTACTACTACTACTACCACCACCTGGTACTACTACTACTACTACTACTACTACCACCTGGTACTACTACTACTACTATTACTACTACCACCTGGTACTACTACTACTACTATTACTACTACTACCACCTGGTACTACTACTACTACTACCACCACCACCTGGTACTACTTACTATTACTACTACCACCACCTGGTACTACTACTACTACTACTACCACCACCTGGTACTACTTACTACTACTACTACTACCACCTGGTACTACTACTACTACTACCACCTGGTACTACTACTACTACTACCACCTGGTACTACTACTACTACTACTACTACTACTACTACTACCACCACCTGGTACTACTACTACTACTATTACTACTACTACCACCTGGTACTACTACTACTACTACCACCTGGTACTACTACCACCTGGTACTACTACTACCACCTGGTACTACTACTACTACTACTACTACTACCACCACCTGGTACTACTACCACCTGGTACTACTACTACCACCTGGTACTACTACTACCACCTGGTACTACTACTACTACTACTACTACTACCACCACCTGGTACTACTACTACTACTACTACTACTACTACTACCACCACCTGGTACTACTACTACTACTACTACTACTACCACCACCTGGTACTACTACTACTACTACTACTACTACTACTACCACCACCTGGTACTACTACTACTACTACTACTACCACCTGGTACTACTACTACTACTATTACTACTACTACCACCTGGTACTACTACTACTACCACCTGGTACTACTACTACTACTACCACCTGGTACTACTACCACCTGGTACTACTACTACTACTACTACTACTACTACTACCACCACCTGGTACTACTACTACTACTACTACTATTACTACTACTACTACTACTACTACTACCACCACCACCACCTGGTACTACTACTACTACTACTACTACTACCACCACCACCTGGTACTACTACTACTACTACTATTACTACTACTACCACCTGGTACTACTACTACTACTACTACCACCTGGTACTACTACTACTACTACTACTACTACCACCACCTGGTACTACTACTACTACTACTACTACCACCACCTGGTACTACTACTACTACTACTACTACCACTACTACCACCACCGCCTGGTACTACTACTACTACTACTACCACCTGGTACTACTACTACTACTACTACTACTACTACCACCTGGTACTACTTACTACTACTACTACCACCACCTGGTACTACTACTACTACTACTACTACTACCACCTGGTACTACTACTACTACTATTACTACTACTACCACCTGGTACTACTACTACTACTACCACCTGGTACTACTACCACCTGGTACTACTACTACCACCTGGTACTACTACCACCTGGTACTACTACTACCACCTGGTACTACTACTACTACTACTACTACTACTACCACCACCTGGTACTACTACTACTACTACTACTATTACTACTACTACTACTACTACTACTACTACTACCACCACCTGGTACTACTACTACTACTACTACTACTATTACTACTACTACTACTACCACCACCTGGTACTACTACTACTACTATTACTACTACTACTACTACTACCACCACCTGGTACTACTACTACTACTACTACTATTACTACTACTACCACCTGGTACTACTACTACTACTACTACCACCACCTGGTACTACTACTACTACTACTACTACCACTACTACCACCACCGCCTGGTACTACTACTACTACTACTACCACCTGGTACTACTACTACTACTACTACTACTACTACCACCTGGTACTACTTACTACTACTACTACCACCACCTGGTACTACTACTACTACTACTACTACTACCACCTGGTACTACTACTACTACTATTACTACTACTACCACCTGGTACTACTACTACTACTACCACCTGGTACTACTACCACCTGGTACTACTACTACCACCTGGTACTACTACCACCTGGTACTACTACTACCACCTGGTACTACTACTACTACTACTACTACTACTACCACCACCTGGTACTACTACTACTACTACTATTACTACTACTACTACTACTACTACTACTACTACCACCACCTGGTACTACTACTACTACTACTACTACTATTACTACTACTACTACTACTACCACCACCTGGTACTACTACTACTACTACTACTATTACTACTACTACCACCTGGTACTACTACTACTACTACTACCACCACCTGGTACTACTACTACTACTACTACTACCACCTGGTACTACTACTACTACTACCACCTGGTACTACTACTACTACTACTACTACTACCACCTGGTACTACTACTACTACCACCTGGTACTACTACTACTACTACCACCTGGTACTACTACTACTACTACTACTACTACTACTACCACCTGGTACTACTAGTAATGCAGAAGTTACTACAACAGCCTCTAATACTACTACCAATAATAAAAATACTTCTACTACTACCAGCACTACTACTGCACTCATTACTACAACTATTACTACTACTACTACTAGCAATGTTGCTAGTTATCACTTCTAGTACTACAGTCTTTTCTACTACTGCTACCACCTGGTACTACTACTACTTCCACCTGGTACTACTACTACTACCACCTGGTACTACTACTACTTCCACCTGGTACTACTACTACTACCACCTGGTACTACTACTACTACTACTAGCAATGTTGCTAGTTATCACTTCTAGTACTACAGTCTTTTCTGCTATTACTACTTCTACTATTGTGGTGTCCAATACTTGTGCATTTGACTCATAACAGTTTAAAACAGCACTGTAGCAGCAGCACAGAGGGTCAGTGACCTCCTAAGGGGAGAGCAGTGATTGGTGGTTATGTAGGGACTGAACCCTTCTATAGAATTTGACCTCTGACCCCTTGTTTTGTTACCTCAGAATAGTGCTGTACCCTTCTATGGGTTGGAGCTTTAGTGTCAAGCGGATTTCTTCTCAACACATCATCGCAGCATTATTGTTCGGACGCCACACTATCTACTACGTAGTACCGGTACCGGTGCTTGAAGTGGGCCGGAACGCCCCGGGACGTTTTCCCAAGCTGCCGGTCCTCTGCCCTCTCCAGATCAGGTTCTCTGGGCGCTACGTGACGCTCACCTGTTCCCGTTCTCACCTACCTGCTAAACTCTGTCGGCGGAGAGACACGAGGGAGAAGAGAAGCTCGGTGCCTCTCAAGCAGCCGTGTGCTGAAAGTAGCTCATCGATGTCACTTGTCGTGAACCGACCAATCACAGCCTGGATGGGGCGGGACATTTAAAAGTATCGACAGGTGTCATTTACACTGGGTACGTTGGGGACAGGTCAGAATCAGAATGTACTGCCTTCTTCCATGTATTTTTCTTTTGACTAACTCATTTCAACTTCCATTTATGAAAGTATAATAACATTCATCTTTTTAGCAACGCATTTTATCTCTGTTCAACTTCCAGGTTCTTATTCAGTGAATTGCAACGCCATAGAGCTTCTTAATACTTTATTATGCATTTCATTTCAGCTCTTCTGCATTTTCTGCAATGTTTTGCAAGTTTTTGTGCATTTCAGCTTCTTCATGCAATTGAATTAAAGACTTTTGCATTTCCTGCAGTGTTTTGCAAGTTCTTTTCAGCTTGAGCATTCACATGCACCTTTCTGCAGGAAGTCCAATTGTCTAGTTATCATTATTGTTTTATTGCCCAGCCCTCTATTAATGTATATATGTGTGTATTTATGTATAGTTAGATCCAGCAGATTAATGTATCCACAAACACTAGTACCACAGTACACCAGTAAGATGTTTGTGTCCATTATAATTAACTACATTTTATTTGTTACCATAAGTTTTTCCTAAATCTTTGTCATTCTTTTTGTATGGATTTTAGTTGATTTTTTATTGTGTTTATTATTTTATGTATTTTATTAAATCCTAATTGTAACTTTTCCATCCTGTATGGATGACCCCATATTTACTCTGTTGTTTTTCTTGATTTATCAATGTTCCATCAAACTTTTATGTGCGTTTATTGCTTTTACAGACTTCAGAGCGCGTCCTTGAACGTCTCAGTCTCGCGGGACTACGCCGCCCCTGCCGCTGTGTTGTGTTGACCTCGTCACGCCGCAGATCTCGCGGTGCTTGGTGACTGACGGCGGTTGGAAATGGAGTCGGAGGGGGCGGGGTGCAGCAGGAGGGAGCAGAGATGTTTGGAGGCTTTTTTTTAATATAAAATTATTTATTTAAATAAAAATGGCCGCCGTGGAGAGCGGAGAGGAGAGACTGTAAGTGGGCTTTTACATTTTATCCTCCGTTAAAGCGCCGCCGCTGCCGCCGCCTCCGACCGCCGCCGACCATTTTCTGTCGTGTGTTTTATTGAAGTAAAAGTGCGTTGATTTTTACCCCGGCCTGTCTCGGCGGAGCGGGGTTAGCGGGAATACGTCACCAACTTACTGCTAAGTCTGTACTTTAGCTGCTGCTGTAGCCGGAGCGGAGGGACGGACGTCAGCTTAGCTTTTAGCCCGCTCTGCGTGCGCCGCCGGGCCGCTCTGACTTCCACAACTCCCCGGGAAGTCAGGCCGGGGGTCGGCGGCGGCGTGTCCGTCACAAAACACCACACGCCCGGTCACCGGCGGTGTGTCCACCCGCCTCCGTCAGACAGGCAGGTAGCTAACATGCTGCTAGCTCGTTAGCAAACACTGTGTTTTCATGTGAGGAGGATAAACAGAGAGGAGTCGGGCTGTCAGAGTGTTTATACTGCGGTTCAGTAACCCGGGTCAACCCCCCCACTTCACACACGCACATACATCCCGCTATATAACCCCCCCCCCCCCCCCTTTCAGCTAGCGTAAACAGATTAGTACCCCAATTAGCATCCAGCTGCCTCAGTGCCGCTGAGCCAGGCAGCTGAGTGTGTCAGGGCTTCAGGCTGGACTCGAACCTGCGACTCTGCCTTTTTATAGAGTACAGTGTGTGTGTGTGTGTGGGGGGGGGGGGGGTTCTCACTTCCTGTTTCTGCTGCTTCACCTCCACCTGCAGCTTCATCACACACAGGTTCCCAACCTGAGGGTCTGGACCCCAACAAAGGGCCGCAGGGTGAAGCTGAGGGTCCTGAGGTCACAAACAAGAGCAAGAAAAAAAAAACATGTTGCTGCACAAATTAATGTTTTTATTATTATTATTTTTTTTCCTTTAATCTTCGTCCTCTCTTCTAGTTTCACATCTTCAGACCGGCAGATAAAGAATACTTGTGTTGCAGTCAGGGCCCGACGAAACTTCTCCAGTCAAACGAGTACTGCATTCAATCCTTTATCTAACCAGATCGGGGAAAATGACTGTTTGGTTTCACTCGCAGCCGAACGCCGCCTCTTCCTTTCTTGCAACGCCGTCGGCTGCGGTCTCACACGTGTTCGTCACTGTTGTAAGTTTCTCACCGCAAGCTCGGCTTCCCGTCAGTTTCACCTCCTGATATCCTGTTAACACTATCTACGTTTTTATTTGCAGCGTACATCCGTCGTCACCGGTCGATCGCTGCGTTCTATCAGATCAATTCATTCTTTTGTCCGGCTGCTGTTCTCAGATGTAGTCTGATCTTTAGTGTAGTTCGGTGACTCGTTTAACTCTTGACTCGTTTCGCGTTTCTTACTGTCTTTTTCACCGCCAAAGGGAAAAGCACCCGCGGAGATCTTTCAATTCAGTTCTTCAAGATCTGTTGATCCAAAGTTAATAAAATTCTTCTTCTTCTTGAAGTTCAACAAACGGATCAAAGACTTGACTTAAATTTTGTTTCCACAGCTCACAGCGATCAGTAAACTATTTCACTCCTCCTCTCATATTTAAATACAGAAACACCTGCCGAGCCGCCGTCCTTCCTCTGGACGACCTGATCAGGACGAGCAGCGATCCGATACAAGCTTCCGATATTTTTATAAAACAGTTATTTCAAACAATAACAAAGAAAAGAAAACTGGTCACCTTGCTCGTCCATAACAACAACAACAACAATAATAATAATAATAATAATAATAATAATAATAAAACCAACAAACAACAGGTGGCCTTTAACTCAAGGTACTCTCTTGGTATCGTAAAATTTTAGACGATCGTTATTGTTGAACTGATCAAAGCGCAGCAGGACGATGTAACCGAGAAGTTGCACGTAGACGTTGTTTTGTTTTCGGGCTGCAACTAACAATTCTTTTTATCGATTAATCTGCCGAACTAACTGATCACTGTCTGACGGCGGTGAAAAATGGCTGCCGAAGGCGACCAGGTCTCGTTTTCTGTGGAATAACAAACGTGTTTAAGGTTTTTGCATTGTTTTTTTTTTGCTTGAAATACGACTTTTAACTAATAATTATCAGAGTTTCCGATCAGCTAATCAATCAGCTGTTGCAGCTGTGTTGATTCAGTCAGGATGAGCATAGTATCAATAAACAGTGTCTGCCAGGGTTATAATACGGCTCGTAACTCTTATTTTCATCATGGATCCATGGACTGATCATTTAATCTTTTAATGTCTAAAATATAATATGTAAAAAGTGGTATTGTTAATTGATTGTTGCCAGTTGATTTGAATTGACTCTTTTTTTCAGCTGTAAAATTAAGTGAGCCACATGATGAGTCCAATTATCAATCACTGATCTCATCCATTAATAATTAATAGGACAATGTTCTGGGAAGATGTGAGGAGTGTTTTTCATTTTATTTTTTACTGAACAATTAATCGATTAATCGGAAGAATAAGCAGGTTAATCAATAATGAAAATGATCTGAAGAAATAAGAAGCAGCTGGATTCTACAAAGCGAAGCTCGCAGAAACATGACGGTGATCAGGGAGGCTGCTGTCGGACTGTTTCAGCAGGAACATCAGCTGCTTCTCTGCTGCTGTAAACATCACTTCCTGTTTACTGCCACCGCGATCAGACGGCTGCTGGTTTCAGAGCTGAAACGTTCTGACGGTTTCTGCGGCTTCACACGATGACTGAAGTGTGAAGAAGTAGGGAGGCTGGCTTGAAAACTTCCTGTCGGTGCGTTCAGGGACTCTGTCAGTGGCATGAAAGCCTCCGTCTGCTTCAAACTAAGATTCGTCCACGCAGGAACGCGTCTCACACCAAACACATGAAAGCAACACCTGCATTTGTAATGTGGAGAGCGGCGGCGTTTCTCAGCTGTGCAGCCGGCACGGTGCACAATGTTTCCGCCACTTATGACAGTTTCACATAAAATTCACGTTGTGTTTATCGAGTTTGACTTCTGGTGTTCACAACTCGCCATTAAAACAGCTGTATGAACCCAAAACAAACAGTTTGCTGTGATTTATTTGCAATAAACGGATCAAACTGATGCTGAAATAACATGATGCCGATTTGTTTAACATATGACTTCTTGCTTTGTCAGCTCTGTCAGCAAGATGACAAGCAACTTTTAAAATGCTTGTTGTCTGAATGGAGTTTGGATCGATCAGGGCTATGCTAACTTCTTTCATAATAAAGTACGACAGCTTTTATATTTACTTTAATTTGAGCATTTTCTTTAGTTTTTTTTTACATCCATGATGTATTTAATAAACGTTTAAACATGTTAACAGAATAAAATATCCTTAAAGGCGTATAAGACAGGTAACAAGATCAAAGCTTTTAGCTACTGACTTTTACAAAAGGCCGTCGTCCCTGCCGTCTCGCTAGCTGAGCGCCGACACAACCAGCAGTAGCTGCCCTCCAAGAACAGAAGGAAAAACACAGGGTTGTGTGTTTTTGTGACATCAGAAGCGTAACAAAATAACTGATTACTTGAATTGCTAAACTAACGCGTTACTTGTTAAACAACAATAAAGTAATCTGAATACTCTGACGCAGTTTAATACCCGACCGATATTATCGCCCGACGTCAGCTATTTGCCGATAAATCGTTATCAGTGTTTTTAACAGCTGATAAATGACAATTAAAAATGTTATGAGTTTTGTAGTTGCATAGTTTGTCCACTAGAGGGCGTCCTGCAACTCCCCTCTTGGCGAAAAGAAGAAGAAAAAATAATATATCGGATTTTAAAATAGAGCTGGTCGGTCGGTCGATTAAACGATTAGTTGTCAACTATTAAATTAACTATTTTGATAATCGATTATTCACTTTGAGTCCTTTTTTAAAAAGAAAAAACGTCCAGCTTCTTTGATTCCGGCTTCTTAAATGTGAATATTTCCTGGTTTCTTTCCTGCTCTGTGACTGGAAACTGAAAATTTTTGGGTCGTGACAAAACAAGACATTTGAGGACGTCAGCTTGGGCTTTAGGAAACGCTGGGCGACTTTTTCACTATTTTCTGGACTAACAACTAATCAGTTAATCAAGAAAATAATCGACAGATTAACTGATTATCAAAATTATCGTTAGTCGCAGCCAAAATCCTCAAATATCAAAATCTGTGTCGTTCTTAAAAATCCCATATCGGTGGGGCTCTAGTGTAAATGGCGTGTTTGTCATCTCGTCACCATGAATTTTACCCCCCTGTCATCGGAAAGGATGGCGTGACAAACCGCTGTGTGGCCATGTGACGTCATCGATGATGTAATGTTAACGGGCATGATGTCATCTCTTTTTCGCAGGGAGGAGGGTGAGGAGGGACCTGTCGAGCCTCAGCCCCCCGCGAGAGAGAGAGACAGGTCCCACAGTAAAACCAAGAAGGCCCGCCGGGAGCGCCGCCATGCTGACCGGGGGGGCGGAGACCACAGCTACGGCCACGCCTCCAGCAGCCATGCTGCAGCCACAGGCGGGGGCGGAGCCACAGACACAGGTAAAGACAGGTGCTGGCAGGAGTCAGAGTTTTATCACCTACCAAACAATCTGCACTAATTCAGTGCAATGAAAGTGTTCGGGATGAGAAGCCGGTTTCACGTCACTTCAATCCTGCAGGAGTCGGAGCCGGTGGCGGGCCCCTCAGAGGAGCCGGGATCAGAGTCGGCTGCCGGCAGTGAGTCTCCCAGGCAGCGCCGCTCCATCATCCGGGATCGCGGGCCGCTGTATGATGACCCGTCACTGCCCGAAGGCTGGACCCGCAAACTCAAACAGAGGAAGTCCGGACGCTCAGCGGGGAAGTTTGATGTCTACCTGATCAAGTAAGCCACGCCCACCGCTGATGCTGCGTCCGTTCTCATGGATGTGACGGCACTGTGTTAGCGATGATTGTTGTTTTTCAGCTCGGAGGGAAAGGCGTTCCGATCGAAGGTGGAACTTATCGCCTACTTCCAGAAGGTCGGCGACACGACCACCGACCCCAACGATTTTGATTTCACTGTCACGGGACGTGGAAGCCCCTCCCGCCGTGAGAGGCGTCCCCCCAAGAAACCGAAGGTGGTGAAACCATCAGGGCGAGGCCGTGGGCGGCCCAAAGGTACTCGGGCACAAAAAATTAAACTGAGATGGTGAAACTGAAATCAAGTGTTTCTGGTTGTCTTCAGTTTTTTGTGTTTATTTGTCTTTCTGGTTGTGTAGGCAGCGGGAAGATGCGGCAGGCTACAGAGGGCGTCGCAATGAAGCGTGTGGTTGAGAAAACTCCGGGAAAACTTCTGGTCAAAATGCCTTTCGGCAAGGCAGAGTCCTCCACTGGCACCACCTCCACTGCCTCAAAGGTATAACCAGTCCGTCATTCAGTCAGTGATCCATCGCAGCGATAACCCAAGCAGCTAAATAGACTTTTCCTTCGCAGCTTCTTCCAATTCAGCAAGCAGCAAAATAAAATTCAATGTGAAGGGTCCTCTCTGTAAATTGACCTTTGAGCGCGTTTCGTCCAAATTTGGTTACCAGATTTGGTAAATCCAGACTTGTAACAAGGGTGAACTGGGAACATGTGGCAGATCTGAGCCTGTCTGCCAGACCTTAAACTTCTACCTTTAAAAGGACTTTCAGTGCGTCCCATGGAAGGGTTTGGAAATGGAATCTTTGCGGGCTAAATTCAAAACCCTCAGGTGCCTGATCCGAGTGGTGACCTGAAGGTCAGTGGTGCCTGTTGTGGTGGCAAACCTAGACCCCCCTAGTTCCCACTACAGCGGACGTTTAAGGCCTTGGGTTGTATAGACGGGCTTCTGTGCAACGTCGGCACCGAGATGCCCAACCAGGGGCAGAAAGCAGCAGTTTATGTGGCATATCTAGCAGCACTGGTGGGCAAATTACTCAGAAATTGTAATGACTTACTTTTTACTTATTACTCATTTAAAAAGTATTAATATTACTTTACTTATTACTGGGTATTTAAAGTAAATAGTCACGTTGCTCGTTCCATTACAGTTACTTTCAACCACGGCACCCCGTCCTTAACCTCTTAACATTCCAGCCCGCGGGTCGTCAGGTCCCGGCAGCAGCTTTCGGTCTGTGCACACAGCTGCTATGTTACTTCATACTCATATGATCCACCGTTTGAGAGCTAAAATCCTCATGATTCGACCAATGCAAACCATTTCAAGATACAGTCACCACAGCGCATCCAATCAGCGCTTCTGTCAGATCAACCAGTACAAGCAAAAGTGACGCGACTCACAGTAACTTAATCCACCGATCGATTATATTCCAACAAAAACGGTTTTGTTCCGTTGTCAAAGGTCCAGACGATCCAATCCAGTAAAAACATTTAGTCCAAAACACATTTATCCATCAGTAAGTCCTCGGGCACTGCTGCCGCATCGCATCATATCTTTCGGCAGACGCGGCTCGTGCGTCATTATAACCGTAATAACTCTGATCTAATTGTAAACAACTACGATATCTTGTATTCAAATTAGCCGCTGAACTCTGACCTTTCAACCGACAGCTAATCCGATCCAATAGGAGCTCACATGTCCCTTTCACAGCCTACAGCAGCCAACCAGAGCCGGCGCTGCGTCTGCGTCGAGCTGCCGGCTGATACGGAGCGATGCAGCAGCAGCAGCCGCCCGCCGCCAGGGGGCGGGGCTGTTTTAGAAAAAATACGCTGACAGACAAACCTGTGGAAAATAGTCATTTTTCATGGTATTGGTATGAAAATTAAACTTTCTGCTGCGGCCATACAGTGTTTTCCAGCTAATAAGTCCCGTTCAGACTTTTGTGTTGTCACACTCCAGAGTGTTTCTTTCAGAGAAGCCCAAAACCAGGCAGATACTCCAAATGGTTCAAGAATTACATCCAATCTACTTTGGATGTGCCTTGAACAGGCGTTTTGCATGATTTTTCCAGGAATGTTAAGAAGTTAAAAGTGACGGGAAACCTGTTCAGCAGTGCATTTTAGAAATGAGTCCACTTTACTGGAACAGTAATTAAACTGAGGAGGCAACAAGCAGCCGAACTGGAAACAGCCTCTCAGACCACAGGATGCTGGATCATACGGGCTGGTTAAAAAATAATAAAAAACAAAGCAGGACCCTCCCGACATTTTAGCTAATCGCATAACATAACAGCATCAATAAGGATGATTTTTACGAAGCATGAAATGTTTTTTAACGCCACTGTCTGAGATAAAAAAAATATCTCCACTTCAGAACGTTACTGTTTTGCACATGTGTTTATAAGAGAAGTATTCAGCGCTTTTACAAAACACAGAACGCTGATTAACGCCACTCTCTCCTGCACAGTGGACGCTTCACTGGCAGCAGCTGCCGGAGGTTCTTTCTAGAGTTCCGCGTAGCTGCTTTAGCAGGTGCTTCAATACAAAATTGTTTGCGGTTGTAAACGTTTTGCTGGACGACAGAGTTCTTTGCAACTCTTGAGTGTGACACAGCCAGGACAAATGGCAGTACTTACAGTACAGCTGTGGAAAGAACGATCCAACTCTGAAATGGCAGTTTATTATTAAGTCAACAAGAATGACAACAAGAACGTCGGAGCTCGATGAGTCAGGCCGGTTTCGGACAAAAATGTCACATTCGGTCACGTTGGTTTGGTTGGTATACCTATCTGGTGTTGTCATACATCAACTGCGTCAGGCTCGGGTCGGGTTCGGACATGTATGTTGGGTTCGGGAGGGCTCTGTTACTACTCTCTCGGGTTTTGGACAGAGCCGTACTCTCTTGGGTTGTTAAGCCCAAGGAACTTATGAATCAGTAGAGTCTGGATGTGGGAAAAGACAGTTGGAAAAACATCCAGTAAGCCTCAGAAGGACTCTGGAAGGAGATTCAGGACTTTTTCCGAGATTGTGACAAGCTGCTCATCTTGACTGGTAACGCCATCGGGCGATGAAAGAAATATTTTTATGATACTGGAATTGCGCAGGATACAAGCAGGAGTACAACTACAGTATCCAGTGCAATTAAATCTCTGTGCAATTGTCCAGTTTACAGGGCAGTTTTGTTTACAGTTAAAGTCCACTTTGCATGTGCTTTGTAGACCTGGAGAAGACATAGGATCTTGTCCCAAAGGGTATCCTTTAACAGGTTTTGTGGACTTTGTGGCCAAGGTGCCAATTCATAACAGACGTTATCTCATTGCACTTTTCATACAGAGCAGGTCAAGACCGTACTCTTTGTAGTAACATTTACAGAAACTCAGTAATTCCCACCACTAGCTTTACCTTTAACAGCAGGTAGCAACCTCGAGCAGAACCTGGACTCAGGGGCACTGACGTTTTCTTTAAATGTGGAAACGATGTGATGCTAATGCTAATTGTTGATGTGGTAATCCTGCAGGTGGTGTCTCCTGTCCTGGTGCCCAAGTCCCGTCCCGGCAGAAAGAGGAAATCCGAACAGGAACTTCCAGCCCCACCACAGACCGCCCCCAAGAAACGGGGCAGGAAACCAGCCTCGGCCTCAGCGGCAGCATCGGTTGCCACAGCGTCCACATCCTCGGCATCAGCCTCTGGTAGCTCGGCAGCTGGGAGCTACGCCGCAGCTGCCATTTTAGCTGCCGAGGCCAAAAGGAGAGCAGCCAAGGAGTCTTCCACCAAACCCGTCGTCCAGCAAACAGCCCTGCCAATCAAAAAACGCAAAACGAGAGAGACAGTGGAAGAGAGGGAGAGTGTTCAGACTCCAGTGGCCACAACAACCGAGACTGAAAGAAGGGTCCCTGTAGAGGGGGAGGGAGGTAAAGGTGAGGGAGCTACAACCTCAGATCCTCGGCCCGCCCCCTCTGAGCAGACCCAGTCACAATCACAGAAGCAGCCCACTGCTTCAGACGAAAGCCAGTCGTATGGACACAAGACGCATAAAGGGCGGAAGCACAAGGAGAAAACGGGAATAGCGTCAGGAGATGGAGGAAGCAGAGGAGAGGAAGTAGGTGAAGATGTAGGCGATAAGGGAGGAGAGGGAGAAGGAGGAGGAAGGAGTAGCAGCAGCAGCAGTAGCATTAGCTCAAAAGGCCACAAAAGGAAGGACCGGCCTCCCCACAAACACCACCATCACCATCACCACCACCACCACCACCACCACCGCCACCAACATTCCTCTGCCTCCCCTGATCAGCCGCCTCCTCCTCCTCCAGCTTCTGGACACCCACCACCCTCCAGCCAGTCCAGGCCTGAAGTCGAGTCCCAGACTGTGCCTCAGCTCACCACCCAACACTCCCAGCAAGCTCCTCCCAGACCACAGTCCAAGTCTACGACCCAATCCATGCCCGAACCTCGGCATCCTCCTCCTCAACCGCGCCACCAGCCCCAGCCCCGTTCCCAGCAGCACCCCCAGAGCCAGAGTCCCAGCCAGCCCCAAGCCCAGCCTCGATACCCAGCATCCCAGCCCTCTCCCACTAGGCACGTCCTGCCCCAGCAACGGCCCCAACAACCTCCCCAAACCCACAGTCAGCCCCAGGCCTCCCCCCAGAAAGCCCAGCCACAGCCTGTCCACTCCTCAAGCCAACACCGAACCCAGCTTCAGGCTCAGCATGCTCCACCTCAGTCACACCCTCCTCAGTCCCCATCCATCCTGCATGTTCATCCATCACAAACAAGGCATCCGCATCCACAAACCCAGTCCCCTACAGCACTCCAGCCTCAAACCCAGCCCAGGCACCCGTCTCAACCCCAAACCCAGCTCAAACAGCAATCTCAACCCCTGACCCGGCAGTCACTGCAGCCTCAACTCCAACCCCAGGCCAGGACTCCGGCTCAACTTCAGACTCAATCCCAGTCCAGAATCCCAGCCCAACCTCAGCCTCAACTGCAGCCCAGAACCCCTGCGCAAATGCACCCTCAAACTCAGCCAAGAACCCCAGCCCAAACTCAGCCTCAACCACAGTCCAGGACCCCAGCCCAAACTCAGCCTCAACCTCAGTCCAGGACCCCAGCCCAAACTCAGCCTCAACCACAGTCCAGGACCCCAGTCCAGCCTCAACCTCACCTGCAACCCAGGCATCAAGTGCAGACGAGGCACCCATCACAACACCAACTCCAGACTCAGTACAGACCACAACCCAGACAATCTCCCTCCCAGGCTCGGCCACCCCAGTCCCCGTCCCAAGCACAACCACACTTTCAGCGGATTCAAACACAGCCGCGACCCCAGCCCCACTCTCAGCTCACCAGGCCCCACGTACAGCACCTGTCATCCCACCGACCATCTCCCAGCCTATCCAGGACCAACACAGTCCCCGCTCAGCAGAACCAGAGCGAACAGCCACAAGATCTGAGCACCACGCGGCCCGGCCGAGGGAGCCTGCTGCCGAGCCGAGAGGTCAATGTGCAAGGCGTCAGGGCGGAGGGGAGAGGGGAGCCGGTCATGGCGTCAGAAAGCAGAGAGGTTTCAGGAGGAGAAAGAGGATCGAACAGCACCTCGAGGCCTCCCAGCTCCGTGCCTGCTGGACCTCCGGGAGTAGCCGGGGCCGGGGTCGGTGTTGTCCCTGGGGCAGATGGTAGGGCTAGGCTCCGGGCGGAGCCGGAGGCGGCGGGTGAGGGCAGGGAGCTCAGAGACATCGTCCCCCAGTCGGCCGTGCCCTGCCCCAGCCGAGAAGAAACTGTAGAGTCACGGACTGTCGTCAGCGAAAGAGTCAGCTGATCGGTCGGGCTGATGAACAGGCTGAATGCTCGGTAGACTGACGGAGAGCACCTGAGTCAGCACCAGGTGGAGGAGGCTGTTCGTGGAGGTTTAGACGATTTTACACTGTTTTCAGATAGGATAGCGTCACACAGAGCTGGCAGGACTGTCGCAGCTTGTACTCCGTCTGATTCTGTCTGGAGACTCTGTAAAGTTCTGGATCCGAGAACCAACCCGGGGCACTGAGGGGGACGGCTGGAGAGGAGAACGGATAGCGTCGTTTTCTAGGAAAAACAAAGAAAAAGGAAAAATCGATAAAACAAGTGTGTGTGTATATATAATCAAAAGGCAGCTGTTGTGACCCGCTAGTCTCCGTGGGGAGGGGGGAGTAGTTTGGAACTAAAAACCAACGCTTAACAACACATTACTCTGAACGAAACGTTGCTTCCGGAATATAACCTCTTTTTTTTTTTTATTTCGTATTTTGATAGTTTATTGTTTTGTCTCTGTTATACAGCTTTAAACTCTGATATTATTGACTGACGGTCCCTTACTCATCGTCGTGCTGCTGACTGACACTCCCTTATTTAAAGTCCCGCTCTTAACGGAGGGTCTCTCGCTAAAGTCCTTCCTACTGTCCCGACAGTCCCTTACTGAAACTAGTCCTTGACTGAAAGCCTCAGAGGTGATGTGGGGCGGCGGTTTGCACCTTTAACTGGTTTCTTAGAAATATCACACTTTTGTTTCCTCCCCGTTTTCCATTAAGCCCACAATAAACAAACAAATAGGGGGGGTCGGTAATGTTTTTCACCCACTTCCAGACTGCCCCCTACAGGTAGCGGATCTGATGTATGAGTATGAGACTCTACTCAGACCTCATTCTGTCTTTGAAACCCATCATCGTTTGAAATATTTGAACAACTTGAGGAGTTCTTGATTCGGAGACTCGGCCTCAAAACTGACGCAGTTTGACGAGAAAACCTCGAGCGCCTCTCGTTCGTTTTTCAGGTATTTCAAACGCAGCGAGTTGTTCTTCCAGGTTAGAGATTCTTCCATACTGGTCTTCATTGAACCTGTTTGTTTTTAGTCTTTTTGTTTCCAAAGGAAGCGCTTTTAATATCAAACCAAACCCACTTTTCAGTAGCTTTATTTTAGTTTTTAGTCTTAATGGAAGAGTGGGGAATGGAGTCATTTTTATTGTGTCTTTGTGTTGAATGTCTGGAACAGTTTGCACTTCTCCAGTTTGTACAATCAACCGCCTGCATGTCGCTCGGAGACCCTGCAGGCCTTCAACCCGGAGCAGCACGTACGCAGAGGTCGACCTCGCCGGGTGGGGGTGGGGGGGTTACTGTCAGCCATGTTGGCGGTGTAAGGGAAGATGTTCTCCAGAAGTAAAAAACCCTGAGCGAGGCGCGCTTCAGCTTCACGTGGAGTCAGATGTGCTGGAGACGGCAACAAAACAAAACTATTCAGTGAGCAGAAAATGATCTGTGAAGTCTGTAAGTCCTGATCTGAGAGCACAGTTTGAGGTATCGGAAGGTAGTGAGCGTGGAAATATGCAACAAGGTTCAACAAAATGGCCACCGTTGATAATCCCAATCTAACCCTTTCATGTAGTTAATTTTCTTTACGTTATTTCAGTGTTAATAGGTCAAGACAGTTTATAATCTGAAACTGGGTTTGACCTGAATGTAAAGAGTCACCTGCTGGGCCCCGCCCTCTAAATAATGTCATTGTGCCTCATCAGCGTTTTAATTTACTTTTTTTTTTTTTTTTACAACTTTTACTTTCACAGCTAATGCTGGCCGCACACTAGAGGATAAATCGCCTCGCTGACAGTTGAGAGATCATCAGCCCAAATGATCCTGTAATGCGAGGGCTTTATGGTCGCCGACTGGATCGGAGGCTCCTCGATTTCGAATCGTAAATATTGGTGATTTGAAATCAGGGAGCCTCCGCTGCAGCCAATGAGAGCGAGCTGAGCGGGAAGCGTCCCCGCCGTGTTGTGTCTCTGCTCTATAAAATGTATAAACCTGCTGATTCCCTCTTTTCAGCCTCAAGTTCGTCCACAGTTTGATTCTCCTTGTTTTTGTGTGCAAAACACAGCACACACACAAGGTCAACCAGATCACGCGAGATTCTGTGAGATCTGAAAACGTGTGAGTGTGTGGTTCTTAGCTCAAACCTTGAGTTTGCCGTTTGGAGGTCGGCTCATGAGAAACTTAGCTGGACGCTGAGAGAGACTGCGTTCACCCTGCAGGCCTTATAACTAAATTATGATTTATTTCTATTTTTGATTGACTGTATTTTATTCTAATTTGGCTCATCTCAGACTTACAGTGTGAACCGGCGACGCCCACGGAAGAATGTGACGTCACACGCAGCACGCTGTAAACATGGCGGCAACAGAGGCCTGGCGTTTTATTTTTAAGTTGATTTCCGGTAGAATCTGTGAGCAGATGATATCGAGGACGAGGAGAAAGAGAGCCACATGTTTAATTTGTGTTTAATTACGGCTTTTGTGGAGATTTTTGCGTTCACCGTGGCTCCGTCTAGCTCTGCATTGTGACGACGGTCGCTCTAGAGTGACGTCAGAGTCTCATGAACTCCGATCTGACGTCCAGACTGACGCCGCGTTTCAGGCCTGGATCTGATTTGGACCACAAAGGAAAGTGGCTTAAATCCGAACTGGAAGAGATCAGATTCTGTGTGAAATCAGATTTAAGTCACTTTAGCCTGCAGTCTGAACGCAGCCTTAGTTTCTACTCTCTTAGCAACTTAAACCCAACAGCGTGTTTGTTCTACAGTCTGCCGGCACGTCTCTCTCCTTCTTACTGCCACCAACAGAGAATGTTATTAACCGTTATAATAACAGAGACGCCCGTCCCGTTTACTGGCCCGGTGTGGCTGCACGTTTTGACAAATAAACACAGGTCTCTATTAGAAGCCTGGTCTGATTTTTATAGGTCTGTGGGTGTTTAAAACTTCTTCCACCGGGTCGCCTGCTTGAGCTGAGCTGCTTAGATCACGATACAAATATAAATGTTTAAACGTTTGTCAGTATGGACATGATACACGTGATAAGATCGGTTAGATTCTGCACAGTCCAATCGTTCAGTTCATATTATGGAAACAATTCCCACTTTCTAGTATGGGAAATAAGCGAGACGAAAACAGCCTTATTTTCCCTAACTAATATTCATACTGTTTGAAATAAACAATGAATCCCAGTTTTCACTGCACAGTGCAGATGGCAGACAGCGACACCAGATACTGACTGGTTTCCAGACCCCTCCAATACAGTGAAACTGCACATTTTGGAGTGGCCTTCTATTGTGGCCAGCCTAAGGCCTTCTATTGTGGCCAGCCTAAGGCCTTCTATTGTGGCCAGCCTAAGGCCTTTTATTGTGGCCAGCCTAAGGCACACCTGTGAGGTGGATGGATTATCTCGGCAAAGGAGAAGTGCTCATTAACACAGACTTAGACAGATTTGTTAGCAATATTTGAGAGAAATAGGCCTTTTGTGTACATGGAGAAAGTCTTAGATCTTTCAGCTCGTAATGAATGAGGGCAAAAACAAAAGTGTTTATAATTGTGTTCAGTGTAATTTAAGTTTTATGATTGTTTAGTTCTTGTAGTCCAAATCCCGCCTACTTGGTGGCAAAAACCATGCAGCACATCTGCAGACATCACTTCTGAATGAAGCTTAGAACACCAGAGAAACTAGAACACAAACAACTTGAAATGGGATTTAATGAAAATATTTGTGTGTACGTCTGCATCTGAGCTCTCAGATCTGAACTTACGGACGCCGTTTGAATGTTGATGCTCTCGCAGTAAGTTTGACATCCATAAACCTTTTTTGCACCTGTTCACGTGACTCTTCGGGGGGGAAAGCTCCAGCACTTTAGCAATGATGTTGGAACAATTGAGCTTTTTCACCACCTCAACCAGAAACAAATCCAGAAAAACTGAATGTCTTCATCCCGGACAAAGTAAATATGTGCCTCGCTGTTAAAAGTCCAGACACCTGAAGCTCCCGGTCGCTTTGTTGCACCATCGTGACCTCGCAACAGGTGATGTATGCGTCCGCCTGAGGCTGAAGCGGCCTCACCTCTGCGTACTTGGCGCTCCGTCTGCCGCCCAGTCTGCTCAGAGCAGAGAACCCGTTCGCATGCTGTCTCTCGCGCAGCTGCAGAAATCAAACGTCCCTCTGTGAACGGACTCACCAAGACTCGACCCGGCACAAACTACAGTAACCAGCCACCATATTGCATGTTCCAGAGTTTAGTGCCTATAATATTGTGCGTCTTGCCAGAAGCCACCATGTCAGCCAAGCCATGTTGTGTTTCTAGACTTAGTAGTGATGTGTGTGGTGACTTCATAGTTGCTAATATTGAGGATGAATATTCTGCTTTTACTCTGATTGGAATTCAGTGGAAACTCCAATACACTGTCGCTGTAGACAAAACTAGTTTTTACCTGTTTTCTTATTTTTTTCTTTCTAACTAAAAGCGTTTGTTGTCCCCTGATCTGTGTTCGTCTGACTGATTGTTGCTCAGCTGTCTCACGTGAGCCCCAAACGTCTTCAGTTATCTCCTGTGGATTTCAAAACAAAAGCAGGAGTCGCAGAAAAGGTGTTTTTGGAAAAGAGAGCCTAAGCCCCGCCCCTTCCAGTGGACCACCATGGGACCTTATTTTAGGAAAAACATGTTCGGTAGTCAACGGCGAGAGACAATTAATGTTTAGATCCCGTTTGAATTGTGTCCTGAATTACACACATTATGTTTGTTAGTTTCAAAGATAATTTAAGTCAAGAAAGTCACAGTTAAAGAACTCAAAAGTTTGGCGGGACCGGGGCGGCGCCGGTCCGATAAATAAAGATTAAAAGTTATGTTGCGTCTGCCTGTTTTACATAAACGGTGACACAGGGCTGGACAATAAAACAATTACAATAATTATGGCATTATTATTATTTTTCTTTCAATAACAATATAATAAATGTTCAATGAATATTCAATAAATGTTTGATTTTATTCCCTTGAATCATCCACAAATTAGGACTTAATGTTTTTATTAAGATCTTTATTTTGGTGAGGAAAAAAGCTTTTACCTAATTTTACTCGTGCATATTTGTTAAAGATTTTATCATAATTGTTTTGAATGTTCTGCCTCAGATTTGTGAAGTGATCCGCTGTTTGGCATCGAGTGTTCTGACCATAAAGAAAAGTTTAAAACCAGAATTAACCATCAGGTTTCACGCAGGAGCAAAAATCTGCCTTTAAACTCCAAAGAAATAACAAGTTGATACTTACTGTGATAATTATCGATATCGAAAGATATGAAACTTTTTATGGAGATTACATTTTTGGCCGTATCGTCCAGCCCTACGCCGACCCTGTCAGGACGCCGGCTCGCTGAGGCCCAGTGTTCGCTAAAGAGACACTGATGTTTTAGGATGTTAATGTTTCAACGAGCGGGTTGGTTTGTTCTGGAAAGGAGACGGCCGCTGTGGTAATTCGGCTACCGG